GGATGTACTACTACCAATATTAATTCCACTACATTTATAAGGAAAATATTTTAACTATTTTGCAGTTTCCAAAAACCATTAGACATTTTTAAAATGAAGGTTATCTATGATATCTACTGATATCTTGATTATAATTCATCGTTATTTACTTATTAGAGTAGGTAGTCCTATATTATACCAAGTTAGTTCACCTGGAATAAAATGGCACTTTGGTACTTCTTAACTATTAAAACTTAAATTTTTATCTAAGACCTGCTACCTACTTACTCTTAACATAGAGAAGTTGCTTTGGCTTTGTCTGTATTGGTTTCCTCAACTATAGAAATAATACTATCTGTTTACCTAGTTCATAAGGACACTATGAGAATAAAATAGCTAATACATGGGACATTTTGAAAATTAAATGTTCTTAACACATTTTTATAACTGCAGACCTTTCATCAAAAGAAAATAATTACTCACACATGAAAAAACAGTAAGCATTTGCAAAAGACCAAAAAAATAAAAAAGAAAGAAAAAAGACAGACAATGTGCAGGTCACATCCATTAACTCTTGGAGGCAGTGTGAATGGCTGCTTCCTCTGGGGGTTGCCCATCACTGCCTTTTACTAAGCACTAAGGCCAGGCACGGTTCTCAGCTATTTACATTATCATTTAATCCTCACAATCATATCAGGGAAGAACTAATTTTATCCCCATTTTACAGATGAGCTAACTACGGCTTTCAGAGGTTAGGAAACTTAACCCAAGGTCACACAGATAACTTGAAAGACCGGCCTCAACCAAAGCAGATTATAGAGCTTTTGCTAACTCACTCAACTGCACTGCCTTCCCGAAGACTGCAAGATGGCCTCTCTTTTGACCCAACAAATTAATTATAATGGACAACATTAGAACCAAAACCTCAGGAATAGGAAGATCTTAAAGACTTTTCATTTATATTAAAATATTTTTTACCTATAAGATTGACAGAGATGAAAAGATTGGTAATACCTAATGTGGATGAGTAGGTAGGAAAATAGGAACTATTAATATTTACAGTGTGTATACTCATACTCTTTGGAAGAGCAATTTGTCAGTAACTGCCAAAATGTAAAATATAAAAATAGAGAGTCCTGGATTTATCAACATTTGACATAGCTGTTGACAGGGTATTGTGTTGAAAATACATGTTGGAGCTGAAACAGAAAGTTGAAAATTTCTAAAAGCTTCTGGGAAAGAGGAGGGAAAATAGTCACTCACATAGAGATCAGGAGCCAGAATGATATCAAACTTTCTCATAACATGGGAAGCTTGGCAATAGGGCTATGCCTTCTGAATACTGAAGAAAAATAATATCTATTGTCCAAAATTCTATACCTTGCTAAACTATCAATCGGGTATGAGGGTGGAATAAAAATATTTTTAGAAATTTTCAGACATGCAAGCACTCAAAAAATTTCCCCCATCACCTTACCCTTTTCTGGGAAGCTGCTATGCTCAAAATGGTGAAATGAAACAGGAAAACATGGATACTGCTATTTCTCATAGTCTTGTGGAACTATTTGACTTTAGAGATTATGTGCATGTAAAACTTGTTGAAATTTTAAAAAATACAGAACTATTTTAAATTCCAGTTTGGAATGTTTTGTGTTAATTGTGAGTATAAAAAGAGGCAAAGAGTTTTAATACAAATTTTTTTATTTTTGTATTGCAAGTGAATACTTGTAAACTAGCTTTTTAAAAAAAGGCTCCACATAAATGGTTATACTGTGGCATCATCAATATACACCTTTTGGAAAATGAAACAAATAACCGAGCTCATTATGGGAGTAGGTGCTAGTGGTTTGGTTAAAAAGAATCCAGTGTCAATATCATACATGAATTCAAGTGCTTTGTATCAAGCGTAGTGTGCTCTGGAAACTACTAAGTGACTCTGACCATGACAAAGGCATTGACAATGAAGATTCAAGTGAGCAGGTCAAATAATATTGTTTCATAAAATGAGCAGTGAAAAAGGTACATTAGTAAATATATTATTTCATGTAATATGTAATTTTAAGTACATATGCAACTAAATTAAATATTCAAAGTAAAATAAAAATAAATTAGTCGTCAAACTATTTCCCCCAAACATCTTTCATTTTCATTAAGGTGATAATGAAAGCAAGATGACCTTGACTGTCATTCCTCAAAAGCTGAAGCCATAGCTTATTCATATTTGTATCTCATGCCCAGCTAAGAAAGTCCTTCTTCCTCTCATGTCACCTTTCTTTCCTTCACAGCCTTTACCACTATCTTCTATTTTGTTTTTTATTTATTGGCTTATGTGTTTGAAGTCTATCTCACTCATGAGAATGTAAGCCCAATGAAAGCAGGGACCTTGCTGTCTAATTCACAACTACATGGATCGTAAATGTTACCCAGTGCATCTCAGATCATGCACATTCATTCAAAATTAAATATACAGAGTGAATGAATGAGCACCTGGTAGACCCAGTAGAAAATGTGCATAAATCTTCCTCACAAATTTGAGGTCAATTTCTGATCACTAGGAGGAAAAGTGCCTTCTTTCCAAACAGTTCACAGGGGTAATGGAGTTTATGGTGATCACTGGTGTTGAAACCTTTCTACTACTGAGTGGAATCATAGTGGAGCTGTAGCTATTAGTAGCCTTTGCCCTGTGGGAAAATTCTCAAGAGTTTATATAACCATCTTAGTTACAGAGAAACGGGGTCCACTAAAGCAGATTTGGCACGAGAGAGGAAATAAAGTAAACATGAGAATGGAGTGCTATGAATTCAAAAGCACAGTAACTGGTTTACTCATTGACCTCTACAGGACATTTTGCTCGATTATCACTTTGAAGCCAGATTAATTCTAGTTTCACTTTACTTGGAACTCTTTCATGGCTCCACAATGACTGCAGACAAGACCAAAATGTTCAGCATGGAATGCGAGACTTTCCATAATCTGTTTGGTTTCCTCTCGCCCAGTATCTGGTTTCTCTCTCACTACGGGGCTCCAGCTGATGCAGCGTCCAGTCCCCTGAATAAACCAGGCTTTCTTCTTGCAATGCTTCTCGCATCCTGCTCTCTGCTCCCTTCCTGGTCCACTCCATGGTCTCTACTTTTTGAAGACTGAAAACTCGTTTAGTCCCCTCCTCCAGCAGCAGGCAGTCCCTCGTTTGGCCTCCACCCACTTAGACTTCTATAGGGCCTCACCCACGGCTACGCCTGAAACTGCGTTTCCCACCACCCTTCCGACTGTTCACTCCGGGCACACCGGCCTCCTTGCAGTTCCTTCAAACCTCCATTCCCATTTGCCAGGAGTAGAGTATTCTCTGCCATGTGTTTACACGGTGCTTTCCCTACTCCATTAGACTCTGCTCAGATGTCACCTCCTAAGAGATGTTATCTTTGATCACTCTAACCAAAGAAGTTTCTCCCCTTCTCATTTTCTAAATAGAATTACCCACTCTCTAGCCCCTTACCCTACCTTATTTTCTTTGTAGTGATCTAATATTTTATCATATAATTATAAACGTATTTGTCTTCCCTTCTAGAAATGTAAGCTCTTTGAAGATGGGTCTGTTTTGTTCACTGCTGTAAATACTTGTGAAGGAACGAATGACACCTGAGATACTTTATTACACGTGTTGGCTTAAGACTTCTGTTCTCCCCCTGCTGGACAGCAGGGGCTGTATCCTAGTCTCCTCAGTTCCTTCCTGGAACAAAGTAACTTAATATTCCTTGTATAACTGAATAATATCAAGTATAATTTACCTGTAACCACAGTTCCCAACAAAGGAAGGGACTCTGAATCCATGCATACTATGTCAGTTGAAGAATATAGCTATATTTCCACAATTCTTTTATCTGCAAATCTTAGGACCAGATGTATTTCAAAATTCAGAACTGTTTACTACTTACTCCTAGTAGTGTCTGGGGCTATACCATCTAATTAAAGACATTAATAGCTTTGCAACAAAACATGAATAGTGTGATAATGCTCAAGTAACTTTTTCTGTCAAGTGAGTTATCAAGATAAATTTGAAGGCTTGGGACTTTGGAATGGTGGGTGGGGCTGTAGACGTGTGCTAGCATATAGGGTACTGTGAAGTATCTTTGGGCTAAAATGGGTTCCCCACATTCCGGAAAGCTAAGAACCACTGATTTAATGCATTAGTTTAGAACATCTATTTTCTTTTCAGTATAGCTAACATTAATGAAGCATTTATTGTGTGTCTGCAGTTAGTCAGTGGCTGAGTTGGATCCAAACTGAAGCTATCTCGCAATCAAAAGCCAAGCTCTGGACCACCTGACCATCCTGACTTCACAGAGTTCAAGGTAAAAATTCTCCATTCTTCCCAAGTTTTTTCGTAGTGTTGAGCCAAAAGAACTTTTCTGTAATTCAAGTCAATGTAAAAACCCTCAGGCTACAAGTCCCTCATTGTACAAGAGGCTGGCTATATGTAGCCAACATTTAACTGGTATTTATAGAACAGAATAATTTATTTCCTCAGCTAAACCAATGTTTTAAACATTTGTAATGACAGACCAAGTGATTCCAGATAATTAAAAATCATTTAGTCACACCAATTTGCCTTGATACCAATCAAAGAAGGCACTACCATAGGTAATATGTAGATTTTTTTGACACCCATCTTTTTCAAGGACATCTTAGTTTTTTTTGGTGTTTTTTTTTTTTAAGCCAGATGGAAGTTGATAAAATGTATATGTGATGACTAAATCCTGAAACTCTCTTGGAATTATCAAAACATAATAGTGATATGTTGGGAATAAGGAGTTAATTATATAAGGATAAGAAAACTATGCTTTCAAAAATTCCTACAGAGCTACAGCTTCAGTGGAAGACACAGTGATTTGGACTTTGCCACACTTATGTGACAGCTTCCAGTTATGAAATGTAGGGTAGCAAAAATATAACACACGCTCATTTTATGGCACAAAAGCAGATAATATGAACATGAAAATCAGGAAATAAAAATAACATATATGCTTAAAAAAAAAAAAAAAATCACAACAGAAACAGGCTTTATTTCAAACAGACAAGCAAATACTTCAATTAACATCAACTTCAAGACTTGACAATATGGAAATTAAAGGTGGTGCTCAGAAGACAGAGAAGGAAAGATTCATCACAGAGCAATGTACAGCCCTTGCAAAATCCCTTTCGACAAAATGCTCAGTTCAGAAAGTTAATTAGTTCTAACTCGTTAGGTCTCATGGATTTCAGTGTTCATCTAAGATTCACATGTGAAAGTTAACCTTCAGTCCCAATGATGTCTTTTAAAAAGAAAAAATATATATAGATTAGTATCATAATTTTGTTAAATTTTAGAAACTGAGATTGAAATACGGTTTTTAGTTTAAAATATTTCAAATGAAGAAACTTTATTGTTACTTAAGATGATTTGTTACAAAGCTCCTAGGTACATACATGTACAAAACAAAAGGATATCACCACCTGACACCTCAATCCCCCGCGTCTCCTAACCCTCCCAATGTGAACAATTCATCTACCAGGACACTATGCCCTAGAAATTTCAGTGTCCTGCACAAGGATTTGCTGCCACTCGTACTTTGTGGACATTTCATAATAGAATATTTCAATTTAATATAACTAACAGAAAATAAATCCAACAAGATACTGTATATTCATAAGGGATATGACAAAATTGCATATAATTTTCAACTGTGGCCAGACTCCTTAAATTCATGAACACTCTCAGTTTCCCCTTCGAGGGCACTTTTGAGAGCTTTAGGTCTCACGTTTAACTTTGTGTTGAGTTAGACAGCACCTTGATTAATAGGAAGAAATATAGTAAAGGAAGGTATGGTGGGGAGGGGGAGTCACCCGAGGACAGAAACAGGGGCAAAGGCTCCTTTTCATAAGACCTTCAAACAGAGAAAACAAGACAATAAAAGGTAAACAAACAAAACAGTGTTCACAGTAAAACAAGCCAGATTTGTAGTTTCATTTGAAACCAACAGCAAATCATGAAACGTCATGAAAAATATAAGTAAAGGTAAAATCTCCTAGAGTAATTACTAAACAAATTTAAAATTACCACACTGATCAGTAAACCCCAGAAGAAGTATAAACAGCACTTACATTTCAGGTCCTTCTTAAACATCGTACAACTTTTCAAAGTTAATGCTTAAAATTGGTGGGTTTGGCTGTGCTGCACAAAACTTTTTTCTTAAAAATACAGTATACAGAAAAAAACTCACGTATTCCCCATTTTGAATCATAAGCTCAAAACCCAAGAGTAGAAGATCAGATAGAAGGATTTTGAATTATTTACAAATCCAGCAGGTGCATGTGCCATGAATGGCTTGGCTTCCCTCCCACGGCGGATTCACCTTCTCCAGCTGCGGTTCCCAGGCTCTATTCTCACAGAAGGCAGTTCCATCTACGGGTCATCAGTCATTTTGAACAGTTCCAACAGTGCCCCTACAGCTCCAAAGTAACCCTACAAAAACAATAGGAAAACTGTATGATTACCTCTGACCTTAGCCAAATATTTATTGTTTTTAAGAGCTCTAGGAATGCTGCTCCCTAATGTTGTAGCTAAGAGAAATTTAAAACCTTAACTCTGCCATGAAACATGGTGGAATAATAATATTAATAATAATAAAATGTATTGGATATTGATTTGTTTAATATACATATTAAATAAGTTGACTGATATAAAGTGCTTAGAAAATCGCACAGTGTGTGCTGCAGAGTGCTGTGAATTGTTGGTATTATAACTATTTCATTTCAATTCTTGCCATGGCAAAATTTATATTATTGCCCCCATTTCACAGATGAGAAAAGGAAGGTAATAAAGTAAATTACCCTTGCAGGATCATATGACATGTGCAAGGGCTCAACCCCAAATCTATCTGACTTCAAAACTGTAATATCTCACAAGGAAGAACTGTAAACGTCCCTCAGTAGATCTTGGAGAGGCAGCTAAATCAGCCCAAGTTTCCCTTTGCTCACCTGTAAAAGAAAATCCCATGTTTCTGTGATAAATGACAGAAACTGAAAAAAAGAGATACTTTTAGAGAAACTGGTTTCTGAAAGGCAGGAGACTCTACACCTCTGGTATACGCCTGACTCAATAGTTACTGCAGAAGCAGGTGCCAAAATGCCAGGATGCTACAAGGCAGGCCTTTGCCTCCACTGCCTGTCGCCAGGTAACATTTATTGAGGGCTCACTAACTGTTCTAAGCACTTTACCTGGACTTACTCATTTAATCTGCACAATAACTTTAGGAGACATACTATTATGCCCCGCTTGACAAATGCCAACACAGAGATGGAGAGGCAGAGTCACTGTCTGTGGTCTCCCAGTCACTAAGAGGCTGTGCTCTTAACCGCTCAGCTAGACCACCTTCTCTTAGGAGACGCTCACTAATAGAAACGGAATGAATGAGACTGAGTGAGTGACACTCTTGAGGCAGAGAAGAAAAGCCACCATACCAGTCAGTGCTCCCCCAAAGTTCTCTCTCCACAGTATCCTCCAGCAAGGCCTGCCTAAGCCGGAGTGAATTTAAGAAAGCAGAGAATTTCTGATACTTAAAAGGGGTTCTAAAATCGCTCCAGTTTCATTGGCTATAGAGACTTGAGTTACACATGATCCACAGTAACAAACCAAAGCCATAGTCCACAGAGGCTGAGGACTGTACAAAGTAACATGTGCTTTTACCCATACAAGTGGATTTCCCCCAAACACTGGGTCTAATTCCCTATCTCACCACTAGTTAACTACCAGTGTGCCCTTGCAGGCTTTTAATTCCTGGTGGCTTCCAGGTTTGTTTTCTGCATGAGTCCAAGAAAAAAAGGCTTTCTTCAGAATTAATTTCTATCACTGGGTCTTAACTATTTAGTATTTATGTTCCTATTGTTTTAAGCAATCTACAGGCTTAGCTCTAAATAACTTAAAATTGCATCAACAACTTCTCATATAAATAATTCAGTTTGGCAATGAAAAAATGCCATTACAATTGAAATTTATGATACCAGTTCTCTCAGTATTTTTCCTGCTGCATTATACCCTTGGGCTTAGGTATCTCCTGTGATAAATAGTTGCTCTTTACAGCACTGAATTTAAAGGGCTGGGGGAGAGAAGAGGTGGCAAGAGAGGAGTGTCCCTCACTCTCTCTCAGAAACCTCTGATTTCTATTAGTGTAGAAATTCGATATAAGGGACTCTGAATTAACCAACGCTCTCCATTTCTTCATAAACAGGCTGGTTATGTCCACGCTCACCAGCCACGCAAGACCACAAAGCTCTAGCCCAAGCACTTCTATTTTCACCAGCTGAGTTGTGCACTTGCCAAAAGGCAGCTTCATTTTTCCTCAAATTTGATAATGACAGTTTGATTGTTAGTGTAATAATCTAATTTAACTATATACCAACTCGACTAATCAAAAGAGTATAAAATGGTCACTTCTATAAAAATGCAGTTAAATTCTTGAAAATGATTGAAAAAGGTAGTTAATACAGAAAGCTGCTAAGAGTAAATCTTAAAATTTCTCATCACAAGGAAAAATAATCTTTTTAACAAGGTGTAGTGATGAAAATAAACTTATTGTGGTAATCATTTTGCAATATATACATCAGGCCCTATGTTTTATACCTAAAACTTATAGTGTTATATGTCATTTATATCTTAACAAAACTGGAACCAAAACAAAATAAAGATGGAAAAAGCTAGTCACAAACATCGCTACTAACGTCGTGGGTGCCACATATGAAAGATTGAGGGGGGAAAGTCTACAATTCTACAACCAAATTGCTTTACTTCTTGATCCACTTTAAAGAAACAAGTCAGAAATCAAAGAAAGTGCATACTATGAAAAAATTATGAAGAACAAGACAACTACAGAACTCCAATCAGCAGAACTTATGCTCAAAAATAGGTCTTGTTCCAACAAAAAAACTGGTGAGTGAAAGAACATTTATACATTTATGTTAAAAAAAAAAAAATGGTTAAAGTGGGGAGATTTTTTAATGACTACACATTTTAACTAATTTTTTTAAATTAATCAACTACCAGTCCTGATTGTTAGATAACTTCCATTTTATGTAGTTTTTCATTATCCTCTGTATAAATGCAAACTAACGAACCAACTCATGCTGGACAAACCAAAAAACTTTCATAGTATAATTTAAGTCCATGCAAACTTAACCTACCTCATGTTCCAAAAACAGAGCTTTTAACTGTCCTTTGGACCAAAAATCCATGGCATATGCTAGCAGCTTCATGGAAACCATATTGATTCTGAGAAAATTCCCAACAAACACAACTCTGTCGATATTCTGCAGGGGGATCAAAAAGAAAAACACACAATTGAATCATGGAATAAAAAAATCGCATTTAGCAAAGACCCAATGTTCTGTACACCACTGTACTCCCAGAACCTTGCAGAGTACATTCTTTTAAAATTAAAAGTGAAATTATTTCAGCATTTCCAAGATGAATTTGAGCAAACCTCAAAGTGCCTTCCACAAGAACAAGAGGGTAAGATTTTGTTTGGATGAGGCAGAGACTAACATTGGGCTTATTTGCAGGCATTACATTAGGTTGCCTTAAGATTGCTCCCAACACTCATATATAAAATTGTAACTGGAGTTCAGGTTCAGCTAAATTTTCTTGGGCATTCTTTCAAGCCTCCAAACTTCTGACTATAAAATATTATTATAATCTACTCCCAAATAAAATGGCCATGGTATGGGTTATTTATCCATCTAATGATTTGTCCACTTTGCTCTGTGCCTAACACTGGGGAAAACGGAAAGAAACGACACTTCTACCTTTAGAATATATGGTAGAATATCCCGTTTGGTCAACATGCAGGTTAAAATATGGTAACAAAAAAGACATTTATATTTCTGTTGTCATGGAAACAGATTTGCATTCTGAACAACAAAAAACACTGAGCTAGGCCTGTCTACCACACAGAGGCTGCTCGCCACTCGCTCGCTCACAGAGCCAGTTGCTATGGTCACTCCAATAAAAGGGAAAAGAGTCTTGGAAGCTGTATTATTTTCTGTTCAGTGTATGAAGAGCAACAAGGTCTGGGAACATTACCTTTTAACTGTCTCAAGTTTTAACAATGCATGTTTGTTAACCCATTAACCACTGTGGAAAATTTCCATGGGGAGAGGGGTGGGAGGTGGTATTAATAAATTTCCACACATTAGAACTATAGCCACAGACCACCCGACTGAGAGGTGGCAAGGAACACTCAAAGAAACTCAGATTAAGAGGAATTTAATGAAATTTAGGAGTTTCACCTTTTCCCCCAAAACAAGGGAGTCCAAGGTAGGATTTGCTCAAAACCCCAGTCCTGCCTTACTCAGGTAGAAAGCCAGAAGGAATAGAAGTGGCATTAAATGCTGATGGACATTCCTTATTTCAAACACATTCCAAGTAGGTAAAAGATATATTTATTCCGGGGAAAAACATCACCATGAACAAATCAAAATGGAAAGCAATAATCAGAAAATATTTTCAGCCCGGCAGGTTGTGGCTCAGCGGTTGAGCAACGACCTAGGATCCAGGAGATCGGGGTTCGATTCCTGGTCAGGGCACATGCCTGGGTTGTGGGCTCGATCAATGACTCTCTCACCATTGAAGTTTCTATCTCTCTCTCCTTCTCCTTTTCTCTCTCTAAAATCAATAAAGATATATATTTTTTTAAAAATTCAGTATATATAACATAAAATGTATTATTTACCTCCAGATCAATAAGAAAAAAGACCAACAATTCAACAGAAAAATGTGTGAACAGTATTGACAATTCACATATATACAAAAGGAAAATATTCCTAACTATTAAATAGATTAAAAATGCTCAGCCTCACTTATAATAAGATACAAATTTAAAACCAAATAGGGTGGCATTTATCTATTAGATTAAAAAAAAAAGGTTTGATAACCCTCTGTGGAGAAACTTATACTCTACTGGTGGGAGATTAAGAGAACCACCTCTGTGAAAATTACAATCAACACATCTTTGACCTAGCAATCTCCCCTCTAGGAATTTATCCTACAGATATTCCATGTATGCAAAATGGTGTACGATATATAATCATACACCATATCTATCTATTTATCTATCTACCTACACATCTAAAACAATTTTTTAATAATAGCAAGGTCTAGAAAAGCCTAAATATCATTAGAAAAATGACCAAATCTAGAATAGCAGCATATCTACATGTTAGGATACTCTATGGCCATTAATAAATGAAGTTACATTAAACAGGCCCATATGAACAACCTCAAGATATATTATCATGGAAAAAAAGCAGGAAGCAACAATTTTCGAAGTATTTATTGAAGTATGTGGCACAGACTGATACATGATGTCTGGGATTTGCTTTCTCATATTTTAGCAAAATAGAGAGGGGGAAGAAAAGATAAATGAAATATGTATGGTCAAGTTTTAATAACTGTTGAGTCTGAGGTGATGGAGGTTCTTCATATTTCTTTCTCCTTTATGCGTGTTCACCAATTTCATACTAAAAGTTTTATAAACACCAAAGCAGGATGTAGAATAGTAGGTAGAACGTGAATGGCATGGCATGTGATTATATCTCAATAAAGCTCTTGTTAGGGAAAAAATGTTACATAGAGCTTGCTCCCTTTGAAGGGATACACTTATCGTCTAATGCATACAATATAGAGTAAAAACACAAAAACTAAAAAGAATGGCTGCCTCTGGAGAGGTTAACATCGAGGAGCAGCGGCGGACACAGTGACTCCCTTCCCTGAACACCCTCCTGGCGTCTGTACTGCGCGTTTGCATTACCTCTCTTCAATTAAAAACACTTTAAGCGGATGGAAAAGCATTTCATAGCATTCCCATAACCACAGCAAAACTATTTTAGATTTAGTGCATGTGGCTGAAATGAGAGATTGTCCAGTCGGTGACTCTAGGGAGCAAAGCCATAACACAGCTTGCATCACTGCCCTCATGGGGACGCGAGCTGTGTCCCAGGGAGCCTGCCCCGGCAGGATGCCAGCTAACACAGCCCTTGCCTGAGGCCACCGGTGATTCCCCTCATTCATTCCACTCCACAGAAACTTCTCAAATACTTACTCAGACTAGTGTGTAACACTTGCCAACAGGAAATTTTGCTATGGCTATAAAATAAGTGGCGTTGAAATTGAAATCAAAAGTTAAAAATAAAATCAGTTGTCCTCCCTCAAAAGGGATTATGATACCTGTAAAAAAAAAAACACCCAAAAAAACCTGCTGGCTCACTCAAGCTCTGTGGAAAGGAGGGGAAAGGGCATCCACTGCTCACGCCCATTGAATTGACCTTTCAGAGTCCATGAGTACAGCCAACTACACACATGAGTCTTAAGGCTTGTTTGGCTTCTTGGAAAAAGTCTTTTTAAAGGTTAATATCAAAATAACAAATTCTCTGTTAGTGAATCCCATGACCAAAGTGCACTTTGAAAAGGCATGTCCCTGAAATCCATCCTTTCGTCTAATTATCAGCTTCCCATTTAATCTCCATCTGAAATGGGGACTTACAAACAGTATGACCCTGACCAAAGTCCAGTGCCATATTCTATTCAGTATCATGAAAGGAGGGTGGCTCTCTTGTAACCCCAGAGCTCAAAGGCAGGGCTGGCATCCACCTGTCACAGAAACTGCCTCACACCGTTTAATACTCTACTATTCAACTGGGTGGGGACTGCAGGGGGTGTCTGCAGTACCTGTAATGTTCTATTTCTTAATCTGAGTGGTGGCTATACAGGTGCGTATGTGATAATTCAGAGCCTGCTTCTGTATGTATGTTGGATTTGTTAAAAACTGTATTTTTAAAAAACTCTATTACTGGTGCGACTATGATTCTTTAATACTTCTATTACCTGCTCCATACCCAACCCCCTTTCTTGTCTTCCTAACATTGAGTAAGAGCTGGTCCACTTGACACATCTTGTATTTCAGAAAAGGGTTCCCTTTTCCTTCAAAGGAAATTTACAATATTTTGAGCATGTTACCAAAGCTCTGTCTGCGACCAGCTCTCCCCCTTCCTGTGCCTGGGGCTCTGGCTGGCTCAGCTGCAGCAAGCTCTCTCTGCTTTGATAGCCCTGTACAATGCTGCTTGAACTCCATGCCACAAGGCAACACTGTAAAGAAGCTGAAAGCAGAGAGAATATCCAATCTTGCAAGTGGAACTCCTCGCCCACACATATTTGCAGGGGTGCACAGAGCTTTTCCTCACATTTCAACAGGTACATGGCAGCAATGACGGGGAAAGAGGCTAAGGCATGTTTCTCCCATGGATGGATGGTCTTGTCATCTTCCAGTGCCTACTTAAAAATAAAACACATATTCTTCCTCTCACCCACGCGTACCCTTCTAATTCAACTAGGTGTGCCTATAAAGGGCAGGTTTCCCAAGGATTATAGTCTGCAAGGCTCAACAGTTATTGCACTGCCAAAGGTGATGCATGTGAATGGCACCCGGCTATCCCTGGGTTAAGGCCTTACCTCATTCAACGCACACATCCGCGCAATGGAACCAATGTTGTTGGTGATGGTGACCAGTGTGGCTCGGGCAAGGTCTTCTTTGCTGATGGACTCTCGCTTTTCCTTACTCATCATGTTGCCAAAGCTAAGTTGGAGATATTAGCGAGAGTGTTTAAAATCATCCTCAGCAGACCCCATGCGTCCACCAAAATACTGTGGGAAGCTGCAGGAGTTCAATCTCAAATGACTCGATTTCGCTGCCACGGTTTACAAGCAGACAGAATTACAATATGAATGGTTGGCTGCCCTTTTCTTAATACGAACAAAATAGCATGGCTATTAATGGGGGGAACATTTTTTTTTTTTAATGCCTCTAGATATCTGGACAAGAATGAAACAGGAAACTGCTGCAGTTTTCCAGAACCTTCTTTCAAAGTTGCCCTGTTTTAAGCACAAGCATCAAGAGCTAAACATCGCGGTGCTTCATAAAGGGCAGGAGATCATATCTGAGCTCCAACCCCATATATAGTTGCACCCGCTGGGGCAAGGTCTTTAAAAAGAGCTAAATGAAAAGCCCGGGTGGAAAAGTCGCCTTGTGTTTAATCACTACTGCTCCTAGCCACTTCGTCTCTACCTTGATGCTACGGCAGATCCTTGAAGGCCAAATCGTTCATAGTCTCCTCCGTAAATGTCCTTCACCAGCTTATCAACATTGGTGCTGTCGCCTTTAGCTGCCATTTCCAGAGCTTCTTCAAAGGTCTCACAACCAGTCAGCAAGCAACATAGGCCTAGGAATGTTCCACCTCCAAGACTGAAGGGACAATAATGTTTATTTTTAAATTGTACTTAAAGGTATGCCCATCCAAGTCCCCAACGACACCAAGACCACTCATATAGGTTAAGAAAAACAGAGAGGCACTTGAATTAAAGTGCTAGGGTACAAAAGAGCCTTAGGGTAGATTGGATAAAAAAAAAAAAGAGGGCAGAGACTAAAAAGAAACATCAAGGAAAACTTGCCCCTGAATTTAAGAGCAAAACCAGAGAGATTCTCACTGATTTCTGTTGTGAGACCTTCAACTTAGCCACTAGCCTAAGTGTTTCAGTCTCTCCACCTATAATACGAGGCCAAATCATGATTACTCTTATTTGGATGGTCTGAAAGCAAATAATCAGAGAAATTACTATTATATATTTTCTATATGCAGCAGGAATACAAATACTTAGAAAAAGAAACTGTGTGTACATGAAGCATAGTTTGCATCTAGAGAGCCAAACTCTGGTGACTAAACTGACCTAGGACTCAGCGAGGAATAGCCAGCCCGAAAGCTGCATCTTTCACCTGACTTCACTTTACTCTAGCTAAGATCATCTCATTTAACCTCCTTGGAAATTTCTGAAAGGAAGCCACTGATTGGTCTCATACTGTATTTTTTCTAGTAGACTCTGGAAAATAGTTTTAATATTTTACTTACCACCAAGAGTCAAAAATAGTAACAAAGGTCAAAACAGTTTCAAAGCTCAAACTGTGTTTTAAAAGCTTTTGATTGTTTTGGGGGAAAATTCCTCTAAAACAGTCTTTTTAGACAAAATTAGAAACTGATTATGGTCCTTGAGAATAAACTCAATTGTGTATTAATGTCAGTTACCTGAGGGAGTTTGGCTCAAATGAACTCATAAAAAATTCTTAAAAAAATAAAGTTACCTGAGGGAAAGGAAAGCGGATTGGGAGTTGATCTATCACCAGTACACTCCGGGTAGGCCAAGAAGCACTGGTGTGACCATGGTTTTACTCTCTTGCCCACCCAGAGTGGTAAATGTGAAGAGCAAATTGCCCACATTAATTTCTTCTGAAGCTCCAAGAGCTGTCAGCCCTGGGAATCCCTTAAATGTGTTTGGATACTGGATTCTAAGAAAAAATTCAGGCTGAGATTAAGGTTATTTTTAACTTAAATTTGGAAAAAAAAATCTAGGGTATATTTACTGTCCATAACCACCAACCAGAAGGTACCAGATTCTAGATAGGCATAATAACATCTAAAGGAAAACTGTATATAACATTTCATAAGTAGTGATTCTTACAAAAATCCATACTTGATGGCAATTAAGGGTCCTCATGGAAAATTTGTAGCTAGGCACCACCAGTAGCAGCTATCCAAACTGTAGGTGCAGTACCATGAGGACAGAAAGGGCTCCATGGACACTGTTGCCTTGACAACCCAGGTACAGTAGAAATTTTGGATTTCCTCTAAGAAAGTTTATCTTCATTTACATTTGACATGGCGGGTTATGCTATGTTGTTGGTTTCAGTGTACCCTACTGTTTTAACTGGAGCACTTTTTGGTTTGCTTGCCAGCTGGATTTGTCTTGTTTTCTCCCTGTATATATTTTAAGTCTTTGCTCCTATTTCTAGCTTTATCTCTCATTGACACAACCTTTCTTTGAATATCGGAGACTGGTATTAATCAAGGCGTTCAACAACCTACTCCAAACACAGGCAACTGAAGAATTCGGCTGACTTAGAAAGAAGGCAACTCATCAACGGATGTGTTGGTATGAGTGAAAAAGAACAGGTGCTTTGTATGACTGGGAAATGACAGGTGACTCCAGACGAAGACTCGGAGCTGAATGGGGAAAGCGAGCATGCATTTGCACAGCTGGCACACTGCAGATAGGAAGGAATTGAGTCATAGAAGGGCGCTTCCCCGGCCTGCTAGACGTTACTTAGTCAAGTGATTCTCTTCCTCATAATCAGCTACATCTGTCTGTTTCAGCGGACACACAGTAAGATCCTCAGCAAATGAAAGACAAAAACATACCACTAGAAACAACTGTTGAATATCTTTTTTTAAACCCAACAACCTTATAGTGAGGGATTTTAAGGAGAAGTAGAGGAAACCTTCAGTTACTGAGTACTTGTGCCCTTAATATCAATTCCAAAACAATGAGAGGAGCTATATTGGAACTCTCACTGAAGTTTCGAAATTCTTTACATTCCTCTTTTAATAGACTACATCTTCTAAGAATGTCAGTCCTGTTTTTTTTCACTGACTCCTATAGTAAAATTGGAGCGATGTCAATAAAAAATGTTGCTACCTAATCTAGGATGTGATGAAATTACATATAACACTGAAGACAACCATTAGAAATCATGTTTAAAAGAAAACTGATATCCCGTAATGATGAGGCTTCATAAAAATAAAAATGCTTGGTTAGAAAATAGGGTATAACACCAGCCTGGAATTACAGCTATCAGATCACAACAGTAGCAAAATGTAAAGCTGGAGCCATTTGCTTCAAGCAGTGACTCCCAAAGTGTTCCACACACTGATGTTTGCTACTGACCACAATAGTTTCTACCAGTGGTTCTCTAATGTGGATCAAAAGAAAACTTTGGTAGAACAACTCTGGTTGGACAAGGAGGATCTGGGGCCCAGAATCTTCCTTTCCCCAGTGGTGAACCACTGATTTATACAGACTCATTACAAGTCATGGAACTACAGTAGAAAGCAGTGCTTATCTAATGGATGAATAGTACTGCAGAATTTCAGTACAGGGAAGGCCTGTAGAAACTGTCTAAGAAACAACTCCCTTTATGGCACAAATGAGGATACTGAGGCCCAGAGAAATTAAATGATATCTTCATCTATCAAAAACAATGATATCAATATCGGGTCCCAAACCACAAATCACATGGCACTAGTTTCTTAAGTTGTTCCTCCAAAAATGGGTTCTCTGGTCCAATTAGTTGGAGACACAGTAATTCCAAATCCTTCTCTTAGAAGAAAAACCTATTTAATTTTGTTTGTACCAGGGCTTCTCAGATTTCTGATCCCAGATCCTTTCTCATCTGAATCCCCATTAGGAGGAAGCTGAGCCCCTCTGCCCTTGGGTATGTATGCACTAAAATACAAGGCACTCTACCCAACTGTGGTGACAGGGCTGTTTTCCTGTCCATTACATTCCAAAATTCCCTGTGAGGTATGCCGACTAGTTGTTTTCAGCTGCAGCATTTACCTGACATTCCTTATAAACTCAGTTTAGTTTACTGGTTGGAATGACATATTATTTCAAGCAATTCATTCTGAGCTAGGCACCAAGGTGGTTCCAAAAGACAGTTTTTTTGGAAACTGTCCCAAGCATCCTTTCATCTGGATTCTGCTGTGCTTACTGTCCCTGCCATTCACTTGGTACTTAATATGTACTGCCTTTGGGAAAACTTCTGATGTGTGTGACCTCTCTTCCCTCAACCTAACCAGTTTCCAGCACAGAAGGACTGTGTTTTAGTAAGTCACCCTCTTAATATATTCAATAAATCCTTTTTGATTGACAGAGGGTAAGATCTTTTCTTGAAAAAAATGTATTCACCATAAATAAGCTTTTAAAACCGGTCTTTAAGGAAGAGACCTGGGTTTAAGTATAAAAACATTCTCCTGGTGAAAAGCACGTTTACCTGGTCCCTGTAACTCTTTTATAGTTGTCCTTGGAGTACACAGCTAGGATGCTGACACCTGAGCCCATGTTCACAAGCAGCATTGGGTATGGGTTATCAAGGCAGTATGGCTTTTTTTGACACAATTCAGGATTTGTGGGATTTTCAAAATAGTAACACTCCGGCTTGCCGTTGAAACCAACAGAGTCAACGTAGAGCAGGCCCTGAATCAGACAATCCAGTTCATCCAGTTTATGGAGCTGCAGATCTGCGATCTGAAAGGGAAAAAACCTTGTGAGAAAGGCTGCCACAGCCTTAGGAGAAGCACCAGAGAATTTTAGCTGGATTTAAGATGTGATATTAACATTAAAAGTATGGAAACACCAAGTTGTAAATTCTTGTCGATCATTAGCGTTGGCCTGATGTCCTGTCTACCCACAGTGCCCGCTAAGGGGCAGTCGCTTGCCTGGCTGCTAGAAAAGCACCTCACCAGCATGTGGAATGGGTTGTTGGGTGGCCCCTGAAAGATAATATCCATGTCCTAACTCACAGAAACTGTGAGAGTTTCCTTATATGGAAAGGGGGTCTTTGCAGATGTCATTAAGTTAAGGATGTTGCATCCTGGATTACCCATTGGGGTTCCAATGACAAGTTTCCTATGAGACACACAGGAAAGATCTGATAGCCATGGGAAGGCCGTGTCAAGATGAAGGCAGAGACTGCAGAGCTGCACCACACGCCACGGAATGCCAGTAGCCACCAGAAGCTAAAAGAAGAAAGGAATGGAATCTGCCCAAGAGCCTCTGCCGTGTGATCTGTCAAGCCCTTGATTTCGTTCTGGCCTCCAGAACTACAACTGAATAAAGTTCCATTGTTTTAAGACACATATACAGCATGCCACTGAGAAAGGGGCTCTCCCACAGGACGCAGAGAGCGAGATGTTCTGAAAGCAGCAAGAGCCCTCACTTCCTTGGCAGAACATGAGATCCTGAGGGTGGCATGTTGAGCCGGGGAGCAGGGGACAATCTCATAAGCCCACAAAGTCCAACTCCCTTTTTCCCAGGCCTGAGCTTTGCAGTTAGGCAGACATGGCTTTGAATTCTGGCCGTAATAGTTAACTGAGGGATGTGGGGCATGTTACTTAATTCATGATCCTCAAGAATGCTGTTACTGCTGGTCCAGAGGTCTGGGTTGATGATACATTTCCACAGACCCCTCCCCCCCCAAAAACACTAGCAATCAACCTGAAACTGAACCAATTAATGAAGGAACATAATTTATAAGGTCTAATTTAACATTTAAAGATCTATTTAAGAAAATAATGACTGGTATTTATTGTTTACTACTTGCCAAGCACTTGAACTAGATCATTTAATTCTCCCCAAAACCCCATAAATAGGTGCTATTCTCCTCATTTTATGCTTAAGGCTCAGAGAACTAAATAACTTTCCCTACGTGATACAACTTGCAAATATCTCACATACACTTGCTGTTCTTCTCTTTCCCATTCCTACTGGGTACTGCTTCTGGCATCGGGAAACAACCTATAGAAGTACTAAGCTATTTTGCCAAAAAGGAAATCATCTTCATCACCAAAGTAAACAATCATTCTAAGTGATACCAGGTGTTAAATATATCTCAAAAACGATTCCAAACATTTTTTACTAAGTGAAACTTTTCCGTGAGATGCATGCAATTATATACATTTTAAGGGGGTAATGCTAGAAGTACAAAATCATCAGGAGACCTAAAAGACTAAAGTGAGACACAGCAGTGCAGGTGCTCCTCTCTCGGTTCTGGACTCCTCAGCCTCCTCTATCACACTCACAGCACCAGTCACACTCTAGTCTGTTTTCTGGTTCATTGGGTCCGCCTGGCACCAGGACCAAAAGCCGGTCCATAAATGAAAACAGGAAAATTATCACTTCCTGGGTTACCCCAAACTGAAAAGTAACAATTTCATCAGTCAGTTTTGGGATCATAGGTTAAGCTGCTTAAAAATTAATCAGATTGGTCAACAATATTGATAGCCATGTCCAAAGACAATATCACAAACATGGACACAGACAGTCTGTCCAGCTGGACATCCTGAAACTATGCTAGGGAAAAAGAAAAACCCATCGGGGCAAATAAGCAAAGGAAACATTGTTATCTCACCTTTCCCCTCAAAATCATCTTCAAAGAAAGTGCTAGCACCGAACAAACATCGCTTCTACACATTTTACTGAGGGATAAATATTTCTGAAGCCTGAGGCCATACATCTCCAAAGTAGGAAACAGAAATATGAGTCACTTTCATTGAGACCCATTCAGGAAAAAGGACAGGTTCCCCTGGGTAAGCAATGAGCCCGATCATTACTTAGACTTTCATGCATGCCGACTGAAACTCAAAACAAGATGGGAATTACTCTTAGACTTGGCAGTTCGTTAGAACAACTGAACCAACTTAGTGGAAAGCCTAAAACAGCATGTCTAGATCCCAGCTACAGAGAAACATTTTCTCTGGGCCTAGTTTTCTTTGTATCAGTGATTCCCTGCATGCACAAATTAGAAAAAATATGGATCCTAAACATAAAGAATGTTCAGGATACAACTGTAAGAGATTCTCTTTATATGCTTCAGCTCAGTCTGTCATCAATAACTAAATAGCTAAACAAATAAATAAATCTGGTAAAAACCATCCCAAGAAGTTCTATACTCCCATACTCCGTGGGGAAGCGTTCTATGGGCTTCCCCCAAACCAGTGTTATCATTCTGCTGTAGTTGAGAAATGAATGCCCCAATTGGACTTCAGAACTGAATATAATACACATCTGTATGATACCTGATACTGCCCTAGTGCTTTTGCTGACACTGGCTCCATAAATCATACTGGAAATGGCAGAAAAAGTTATCTTACTAAATCAACATCAACTTCCATATAAAATTGTTGGTTCTGAATTATAAATTTCATTCAGAGCACTTTCTCTTCATAAGAGAACACCAAAAATGGCAACTTCTTCCTCACACAGCCAGTTAAAAGGGCCATACACGAGAGGTCGATTTTAAGTATAAAGCCAGAGCGAAGCGGAAGAAAATGACCCTGTCCACCAAACCTTCAGCCCCTGCACTATCACATATCAGTCCCCAGATTAATAACTGAAACCAATAAATGGTCCTGATGGTCACCTTAGATTTAGAATATCACATATTCACAATTACCCTACTCTCTCCTGATGACTGTTGCACATTTATGGATTTTTGTAGATTGTTTCCTCCAGGAAAGCCAATTCTTAAGTCCTCACACCTTAAAAAAAAAGTAATGAAACAATCAGAAAATCCTTCTCTTCCCTAAGTCTCACTTCTACCAAATAAAATTGTTGTACTATCCTGTTTGTTCAGAGGGCAGGTCTTTTTTGTTTTAAGTAATTAAGAGACTCACTTCTAACTTCTGATTAATGTTAGTCTTGGGCTGAAAACACCTTCAAGTTAACGTATTTATTGTAATGAAGAGCTAGGCGGACAGAAAGAATGAGTTTTTAAAATAAATTTTCTATTGTTAAAATACTTTCCATCCTAAAGAATACTCTTATTCAAGTTAGAAAGTGGAGCTGTGGGTGAAAATATTAGATTTGGTACATAAAATATTCTGGGAGGTTCTTTAAGACAAAACTCATAGACTATAGGGAATGGGGACAAACAGCAAGCTAACTGAAACCTACAGTGTTAAGTGTCCTGGTGTCTGACTACACAGGGGTCTCCCCTTGGGGATCATTTTAAATGGCGGGATTCCTCAGTGGCTTTCCATTTTCTTTCCTATCAATATAAAGGCTAACTTTTGACAGTGAAAAAATTTTTTGTGATCCTGATCCTAAAATCTTAAAAGAAATGGGAATGGAGAAAAAAGAAACACAGCTTTGTTCAATTGAAAGTATTCTACACAGTGGTCTAATTCAATTTTGCTCTGTACAGTAACATACCATACAGGCTTGTGGCCTAGGAGCAATAGGCTACTGTGCCCTATAACAGTAGGCTATATTGTGTAGATTTGTGTAGATGTACTCTCTGATGTTCCTGTAACAACAAAATTTCTCAGAACATCTTCCTAGTGTTAAGCAAGTGCACCTGGCACCTGCTCCTTGCTCCAATCTATTAGGCTTCAACAGCCTGCCCGAGGGAGCAGAGGCCCCTTTACCTTGGTTGTGATAATACACTACCTTTCTCAGCTCAGAACCTTGAGAAACACACTTGTTCGTGGCCAGCATACATTGCGTAACTTCCTTCCAGAACACAATTACCCCAGAGGAGGGATGGAGGCATTGATAGACATTGCATAAATGCTCCAGGTCACTTCGGTTCACTTTGGGCTCCCCAGTGGAGGCAGACAGATAGGGTGTCCTTGAGCCACCTAGGGAGCTCACGGGACTGGGGCTGGGTCAGCATTCCTTCGGTCTGAATCAGAAATTTGGTGATGCCCCTGCTCTTAGCTAGGGGGGACTCCTAGAACCTCTTAATCTCTCTTTAGCTTTAGTTTTTTCATCCATATAACACAAGAATGCTACTATACTTCCTGTTCTCCGGAAGTCACGTATAGTTCCGATGCCCTAAAAATCAAATGACGAAACTGAGGTCCATGGGAGGGACATACCTCACCCTAAGTCAATCAGCTACTTAAATGTAGACACAGACTAGAATTCAAGCTCAATGCTTTTTCCATTATGAATTCAAATTTAATTTTCATGGTCCTGGAGCTGAACCTTCTTAGTTTCAAAACTCTCTGATCATTGGGTCTCTTTGATGAAAATAAGCTCCCAGGAATCATTTAACTGACAGCTTCAATTTCTCCTGCTCGGTAGGGAAAGGGGACACAGAAGAAAGAAGCCAAAACCTGAAAATAATCAGTATCGCCTAAGATACTGTGGTAGCACTCTATTGCCAGCTCTCCTAGAAACTACTCAGATCAGCGAGAAAAGCGATGTTACCTTGGATGACATAAATAAAATTTTCATTTATAGCTTAATACCACAGAATATGCACAGGCTCATTAATTTATTCCTTAGTGATAGACTTTATGACAAGTCTGGATTACACTGGTTCCACGCCAGTGCTTGCTTCTGCAGCACAAACACATTCCATGCAGGGCAAGATGCCAGTAATTTGTACTCTAGGCTCTGAGAACATGCATTTTACGTCTCAACTCACTGTATTTTCAACTTCTGGTGGGACTAGTCCCCAAGTCTCCCAATCCTTCCTTTGCCTATGATCAGTCACTTCTGTTAATCTAGTTTCCTTCGTTTATTCTCACTTTACTCCCTGTGAGGTGAGGCTGGACAGCACAGAGATCACCTTGACTGTAGAGATGGGACAACTGAATCCCATAGGTGTTAAGGGATTGCTCAACAAAAGGGAAGCGTGGGCTCCATGTCACTCACATCTTCCACTCAGCCAAATCTGTCAAATCTAAATGAGCAACACTGAGCTGGAAGACACCACCAGTGAGGATACAGCATTATTCTTATTATATAGACCTGTAATCCCAAAATCACGCTCATTAGTAAAGGAATTTACCTACAAATAACATCCAAGGTTTCATTTTTGTTGCGAGCAAAACTTCTGAATCACATTCAGAAAACAGAAAGACGCAGCGCAAATGGGTAGGCCGGAGTCATAACTTTTAGTGAATCTATAGAAAGCCTTTCCTGTGGGCCTCGGTCTGTGGACCGATAAAACTAGCACAGTGATTATGCTTTTCAAGAAACAGTAGTGAGTGTCTACGGAAAACTCTAGAACACTTCTAAAAGGGAGATCTATGTGTGTCATCTTGTCCTTAGCGTACTGGGCAGCAAGCACTAACTATAACAAAAGCGGTGATGGTAACTAACATTTACTGAGCATTAACAAAGTGCCTGGTACGAGTTATCTCGTTTAATCCTTCTAGTAACAGCCCTGTGGGGCAGCAGCTGTTCATACAGATGTGGAGCCCGAGGCACAGAGAGGGGAAGTAGGGTTGTCCAAAATGCCAAGGCCAGCCTACTCCTAACTCGGATGAGATGCCCTGATTAGGGGCAGGAGAGCTTTTCTCTTTCCCTAGGAGGCTGTTCTGCCGTGTGAACAGGCACAAGCCCACGTACCATTCGGAAGTCCTCCTCGAACTTGAAGGCGCCGCCGCCGGTGGCGCAGAGCGTGGTGTGAAGGCTGGAGAAGTTCTTGTCGCTGCCCATCTGGATGAACAGGTGCATGGCGCAGGTGGGGAAGCGGATGAAGTGCAGGTTGCCCTTGCGCCCGCACACCGTCAGGTTCTTCAGCTCCAGGTGCACGTCCCGGATCCCGGTTTTCCCATAGGCCGTGTTCGAGGTCAAGTACTTCCTGATGCTCTTCAGGTTCTCCACTTCCTCTTGTTCCTCCTCGGCGGTAATATCCTTCGGCTCAAAGTAAACCAGCTTAACCAGTGTTCCACCGATATCCATGCCAAACCACGGGAATGCTGCGGACAGAAGGACAGCGCCACTGAATTCTATGCACCCAAAGAAATAGTTGATTTTTTAACATTCAGTAATGAAATGCCCTGGTGCCACATCTGTATGTGCATTTAACTTTCCGTCTACTTCATTTCAAATATACGCGCCGAGGAGAAATTCAGTTTAAACGGTGCCCATGATTCTGTCCTATGCTCCACGCAATCAGAGTCTGCGTCAGGACTGCCTAGGAGATGGGAAGCAGGATCCTGCAGTTCCCTGAGCCAGGCTCCACTTCCCTGCACTTCCAGGGCTCGCGAATCTCACCAAACGGGTGCAGAATGGCCCACCCAGACGTCCCCAAAACAGCCTCGTGTTAGAATGGCCTCTAACATTCCAACTTCTGGTCTTGTCTCCCACGGATTCTGATTTTAATTCAGGTGTGGGACCTGGGCATGAGTATTTTTTAATAGTTCCCCAGTGGTTCCAATCTACAGGCTTGGGAACTGCTAAACCAGTACCACAGCGACTGACAGGCAAGCCAACAAACCAGCACAGCTCCCGACAGGATTGGCAACGCAAAGGCATGCCTCTAGATGCAGGGATATGTATGTACCTCACAGATGATGTTTTTAGGTTCATTTTCTAAAACACTGTTCTTTTATAACATTTATGAAATGCTTAACTCTCATAGGAACTAAACTCAACATCAATTAGTCTATGGTGAAACTTTTTTTTTCCTTAATCTGCTGGAGCTGTTGGCTTGTGACAAAATAAATCTCCACTGTAATTATTTTTATTGTTATTTAGAGAACTGGCTGAGCTCCCTAACCAGCCTGAATTTATTTAGAGGCAACCTGGAAAGTTGAGGTTGTGCTGTCAAATTCTATGCGAAGAACATAGAGCAAATCCAAAGGAGTAGCCCAAATCTCTACTAGTCAATTCAGATCACAGATGACACTTCTTGGTCCATTCTCTGAAACTTGTGCCATCTGCATGGCCCACGGTGCAGGTAAAAGACAAAGCCGCAAACCAGAATTTAGAACAACTGCTGTCCAGAAACAGCTAGCTCACTGCAACTCCCTCCACCTCTCTGTATCTCAGTTCCCTTATCTGTGAAAGGAGTGGATTGCATCAGAATGGTCTCCAGTTCCCTCCAGACTAAAATTTTTTTATTGATTAAGAAATATATTTAAAAATCACAACTATCCCTAATCACACAGGCTGACCATAGCACTAGTATTTTTAAAATATCTTTTTATTGATTTTAGAGAGAAATGAAGGGAGAGGGAGAGAGGAACACTGATACGTCTAAGAAACATGATCAGCTGCCTCCTGCACACAGCCGCTGGCTGTGCCCTTACCAGGGATCGAACTAGTGACATTTTGGTACAAGAGACGATGTTTAATCAACTGAGCCACACTGGCCAGGGCCATAGCCCTAGTTTTAACCTCTAATGAAATACTCTATGGCATGTCAACAGGTGACCGGGCTATGCAATTAGTGTTGCAGTTTATAATTCATTCTTATCAAAGAAGGGTAGACACCTACACCTGGATAGGTCGGGCTAAGGGGTATTTAGGAACACTTCCAGGATAACCATTTTGGAAAGATTCTGGCAACATATATTAAAATTAAAAATACACATACATTTTTAATCCACTTAATCCTGCTCCTGGACAATATTTTCAAAACCACCAGTATTGAAGAAAGGTGTAAGAATGTTCATTGCAGCACCCTTTAGAGCAGCCAAATAAAAAACAAGGTAACAAGTAAAAACCGGAAACAAAAGTGCATGCCCTTTAACAAGAAAACTGTTCAATAAAATGTATGATTTACAAATCATGGAACACTGGGCAGCCATTAAAAAGAATGAATAAAACCTATGTTAGCTGCCTGGGGAGATATCCTCAGTTTTCTGTTAAAGAGAAAAGCAAAAGATCCTTAAAGTATATATATTCTTAAATAATTTATTTACCCTATTCTGTTTGAAAAAAAAGAAGGTGAGGATGAGAGGGTGAAAGAGATGAAGTAATGAATCTGTATTCCAAATATTGAGGGGAAAATTAAAAAATTTATTAGTAGCTGATAGCTTTAAAACAAACCCTGTTTCTTAAAAACCTTTTCGGAACACTAGAATAATCTGAGGGCCAGTAACTTTGAAAGGTTACAGTGTAAACTCCAAGGAGCAAAAATGAGCAAAATAAGAAACAAAACAAAAACCAACAACCACCACATAAAAGGTTTCCTACCAGTGAAGGAAACAATTTTAAAGAGCTAAGAAGGCTGACGTTAGAAAATCTACCTCCTCCTGAACAACCAGCCACAGAGCTGTAAGAGGTGCTCCCGGTGAGGCGAAGGCCCCTAACACCAATATTTCTCCCTGTATGTAAATTAGGGACCTTGCGTCACAGTTTAACAGATCTCTCAAGGGTCCACACCAAGCTGGAATTTATTGTCATAATAATGCCTTGTGAAAAGAGAGTATCAAGACTGAATTTCTTTTCCCACTATTTATAAATAGATCTGTCAAGAAAACTAATAAGTGGGAAAGATGTCTGAGGATTGTGTGACCAACAGAAAGAAAGATTTTAAAAGCACTTTGGAGATATGTTTGCACTACATAAAAACTAATTACATTGGGAGTTGCCTAAGGACTTCTACATGTTAAAACGAAAACAAAAAACAACTTTGTTAACTTAGATTCAGGTGTGTAATAGGATTGTACTTCTTTAAAAATCTGTTCTCCTTCCCTTGGTGGATAGTACAAGGTAATTCTTGGCTAATATATTCACAGTTAACTTTAAGAACTGGACCGAACCTTCCGTAGAGCACAACATCCAGTTTACAGATAAGAAAAGTAAGGCTTAGGAAGACCAAGGAATTGTCTACAGTCGGCCACACTAGGTATCATCAGAGTCCATTTCCAGTTTCATGAGCCAATGCAGGCCCGTTTTGAAGGCTAGCCTGAGTTGTTTGTGAATTGCAACTGTGAATATCCCAAAAGATAGAGGAATTGTAGGCAAGTTTATTTCTTGAGCGACATATTAATCTGTAAGATGGAGGTGCACTAACCAACCCATCACCAAAGTTCTGTCTAGCCCAGGGGTGGGGAACCTTTTTTCTGCCAAGGGCCATATGGGTATTTATCACATCATCTGTGGCCCATTCAAAATTATCAACTTAAAAATTAGCCTGCTATATTTGGTTAACATTTAATTAAGCCACCCCTAATGTGATGGCTGGAACTACTTTTCTTTGGTGAGGCATTGGCAGGGCCAGACCAAAGGATTTCAAGGGCCGGACTTTCCCCACCCCCAGTCTAGTCTGTCATCCTAAATACACACAAAGCCCTCCAAAACCATATTTTTTTAACAGCATAAAACATAAGAGTTGAAAACCTACGATCTCTTCAATGACCTTAAAAAATTGGTAAATGTAACATTTAATAAAACAGTTTCTGTAACACTGTAAGGAAACCCATAATTATTTCACAGAGCAAACTGTTAAACATTAAATACTCAATGCAGAGAATCGCAAGTCATGGTTTCCTTCAAATAAAAACATACCAGATTTCTTTAGTTTGGATTTTAGTTCATGGCAATACCCATTGTTGGCAAGGGTACAAGGACACAAGTACTTACAGAGTATCGATGGGGATCTAAGCTGGTGTAGTCTTTCCATGTCAGTGTTATAGGATAGTATGAAGCCAAGAAAACTCCAGGACAAGCAGAACAGGGAAACTGAGACAGTTAAATAGCAGTTTGCAGCCACCTAGTAAATCCTATATACTTCTCCCCAACCCCAGGGTAAATAGCATAAAACACCCTATTCCTAGAGACTCGTAACAGAAATCCAATTACTGCCATTTCTTGCAGCCACCTAGTAAATCCAATCTTCCCTAAATCCCGGACACTTGAGAGTAAATAGTTAGAACCTCTCCCCAACCAGAGGATAAATAGCTTAAAACACCCTACACAAGAAGACGGGTAATAGAAAGCCAATTAGTGCCATTTACCAGCCCCACCCAAGGACCGGCGAGTTCAGTGAATATATCTCATTTTGGTACCAGGGCTGATGAAGATTCTACTGATCTCCCCCTGAGATGTCCCCTAAAAGCCTAGCCTTTAGAACCCCTTTAGTCTCCCTCCAGAGAGCACACCCTTGCCATTCTCTTTCCCCTCATCTTCCCCCACAGGCACATGCCCCCTAAACTCTAAGAGACCCCAGGAGATTTGCAACCAGGGGAGCAATGGGCAGGGGCAGCTCCTCCCGAGCTAACCCCCTGAACCTGTCTCCAAGGCCCCCTTGTCTCTGACCTCCCAGTGAGCCAAAGCAGCCCAGCCTAGGCTCTCCTGTCACTTCTTCTATGCCCTTCCTTGTGTCACTGTCCTAAGTGTGTTTTTCCTGCAGTCAATAAATTCTTGCTTTCTTTTCTACACTTTGTTTCTTGATTGAAATCTTTCCCTCAAGAAGACAAGAACCGAGGTCTCGTCATCTCCCTGGTAACAGCGTTTTGGTAATGTGGTGGGCAGTTAGACAGGAGCAGAGCAAGGATGGGCCAGGTACAGAGGGTCACCAGGACGGAAAGCCCTGGGTGCCTAGCAAAGGAAAGCGTAGGGTGGGACCTTGTTCCCAGGGTGAACTTTCCTCCCCTAGCATATCTCTGGTCATACCGTTTGGACCCCTGGCCTTTCCTCCCTAGAGATAACATCTAGGTCTCAGTTGGATTTCAGCTCCAGGCCCAGAAGAGCAACAAAACCAGCCACAGCTGACCTCAGGATCAGCTGCATTGAATAATGACGCCCTCGTGTCAACCAATCAGTGGAGGCCACAACCCTGAAAGGACCCACCTGGAAAACAGCTGAATATTCTATTGAGATCTTGCCCCTCGGACCTCCCTGAAGATCTCCACCCTTTAAACTCTTAAACCCTTAAAATCCTTAGGATAGAGGACTTCTCCCTCCCAGGAGCAAGCCCATGCCTTTCTCTTTCCCTTCCTCCCTTCCCCCAAACACAGTTACCATT